CAACTGTACGTTAGTCATTGCACCCATGGGTAATTTTAGTGTCTCTTTGACGTTTTTTTTTTTCTTTTTTCTGTAGCGCCTTTCCCGCGTTTGTACGGAGCAAGATAGATTCCGCGACCTTTCATAGCGCGACCTTCCATAGCGCGATGATGACGTTTTAATTCTTCCAGCTGACGTTGCGCGGCTTTGCCATCATTCACCGCTTTTGCGACACCCGCCGCTCCACCGACTAGTGAACCGAGAACTCCCAGTAATGGCAGAACTGGTAAAATACCACCCCGTTTTGCTATCGGAAGTGCTCGTTTTCGGATTGCTTTCTTGGACGACTTCTTTTTCTTCATGCCCATACCGATTTTCGTTTTAACTTTCATGGTAGCCCAAACGATGGCAGCAGCCGCTTTCTCGCCTAGAGTTGAATCTTTCGAAATTATGCGTTTCCACGCTTTTACAGCGAGAATCTTATCCGCCGCGTGTCGATCAGTGAGACTGTTACTACGTGAATAGGCTATATCGTGCTCACGACACGCCGCGTCCAATGAATTAATGCCTCGATCGCCTCTGGCCAATCGTTTTGCCAAGCGAGTTCCAGGACCGCAAAATTGATATCCGGGAATGTGTAGTTCGATAGGAAGCGCATTTATCGCGCGATTCAACAGACCGCTGCTGACTTTGACTTTTGTCGAAGACATTCACTACAGTCCCGGATCAGCGGTGCCGGACCATCGATATGCGTTCGCTGCCACGGACGATTGTAATGTTCCAAACATCGACGATACTGCTGAACCTCTGGATCGACTCTTATATGTTCAGGGAGTCTGTCCCACAAATCGCCAATATACTTTGCAAAATCGTGTAACAAAACAATCTTCGGTATGTATTTCAACTGTTCGGAGGTTAGCTCTCGAATATCATGAGTATCTATCAAAAGGAGCAACATTTTCTAAACTGAGCGTTTCCAAGATCGGCGCGTCTATATATATAGTTCAATCGCAACGATCCATTAACATAATCAATTTTGTGATGTGGGGGAAACATGCGATTCGTGAAGCAACCGACATCGATACGTGTGACAAATTTCGACAATCGAACGCAATCAATGATTGGACAAGAGGCGCGCAGGCATGGAAACATGCTTCCGAACACCATACGCGGCATCATATGCGGTCCCTCGAATTGCGGCAAAACGAATGTTCTCATCAGCTTGCTGGAAAGTCTGCACGGTCTGCGTTTCGAGAACTTGTACGTGTACTCAAAATCGTTGCAACAACCTAAATATCGCTACTTGGAAAATTTGTTGAAACCGATAGATGAAATTGGATACTTTACATTCTCCGATAACAGCGACGTGATTCCAACGACCGAAGCGTCCAAAAATTCTATTTTTATCTTTGACGATGTGGCATGTGACAAGCAAGATACCATAAGAGAATACTTTGCCATGGGTCGTCATTCGAACGTTGACTGTTTCTATCTCTGTCAAACGTACGCAAAAATACCCAAGCATCTTATACGAGACAATGCAAATTTTCTGATTCTCTTTAAACAGGATGGTACCAATTTGAAACATGTGTACAACGATCATGTGAATACCGACATGTCATATGAAGATTTCAGTGCATTGTGTCGCAAATGTTGGGAGGATAAATATGGTTTCACATTGATTGATAAGGACAGCTCAATGATCAACGGACGATATAGGAAAGGATTTAACGACTTTGCTGTGCTGTGAGATGCTCAATCGTCGTTGCAACCTCAACCTGGTAACATCTTCAACGTTCACGAGACAAATATATCAATGGTGAATAGTAACGTGAAAATCATGGATCATGAAAAGGTAGCGGAAGAGATTGCGAAAACGAGCGAATCGATCCGCAAAAAATATCGCGCTTTGAAAACCGGTAGAATTGTTGAGAATGCTGCATTGGAGAGACACTTTAAACCTATTATTGAACCTCTCAAGCAAATCGCGGGAAGCAGCGCTAATGTGGAAAGTAACGTTGATGTTAAAACTGCGCCACTATCAATGAGTACAAGCGAAGAAACAAAGAGTATAATATTAAAACCCGAAAAAAAGATAAAGCGTAAGGCGAAACTTTCACCAGCCGCATTGACTCCGCTGAAACGGAAACTATTCAATGATCCTTCGATAGTTTCTACATCGACGGGAGCTCTACAATATGAGGAACCACATGAATCTTCACCGATCAACAATCTACTCACTGATGATGATGATGATGAGAATGTTTTCGAAACCCCCGATAAACCGGTAATGACATCCGTTATACGTCAGTTGCGAACGTACAAAGGACAACAAACTTTACATGATCATTTTGGTCCGTTGGGTCAAAAATATATGGGGGCTGTGCTAAGTAGTGGAAAAGATAACACTATAGATTATGTTTACGGTGTACGTCTTAGTAATGATGGAGCAATGCTCGGTGATAAACGTGTCGATGTGGACAGAGACGATAATATAATCATAGGCGAAACAGGATACATTGGAACACCTGGTCTTTACGAGCTAATATTCAAAAGAATCCCCGACGATTCTGTGTACACCGAGGCTGATATGCAAAAATATAAAAGTATACTATTGGCGACGAATGCTCACAGACGCGGGTACCTCCCGCAAAATCCGATACTCGGTAACAAGGGACACAAATATAAACATATAATCGCGCCCCTAGTATCACATGCGTCGAGCGATAAAGTGGCCGGAAAAGATTTATATGCATCTCAAGCTATGATGACCTTAAATGACAACAATATCGATTACGTGCATTGGGATGATCCCAACGAGCTGGTGGATCGTTTGCGATTGCTTGACGCTTCGCGCCAAGCCGGCAACAACGCTCATGACAACGAAATTTTATCGATTATCGAAGAACTCCGCGAAGCTGGTCTTATTATAAATTAAACAGCGCTGCACTGACACGAGTCAGTCAGTCAGTCAATCGTCAGCCAGTCGAAAGCATCGACACAGCTTGCTCCGTAATGTCGACGCATAAGTTTGGAGTATTGCCAGACAGCAATAGTTCTCCGATCGAAGCGCATCAATGGAATGAACATGTTGAAGATTACATACATGAAAATGCTCTTTGTTTAAACGTTGCCAAAGTTTTCGACGCAAAGTCGCGCAAGATACAACATGTAGCGCAACCTGAAGCCGACAGTGACGTTGCAACCAAATAATACGTGGAAGAATGTGTTGCAGGTATCAGATATCATTTAAACAACGTTGCAAACGATATGTACATGAAAATGCCCTTTGTCTAACCGCCAATAGTAAAGGTCGTGATGGCAAATGTTTCGATGCAAAAATGCATGCGATACATAATGTACCGCAGCTGGAAGCCTTCAATGACGCTGCGCACAAATATTATGTGGATGAGAGTATAAAGTCTGTAAAACTTATGTTGCATGAAAGTAACGTTGAGAAGAAACAGTATATCGATGAGAATATAAATGCTGTAAAGCTTCTACTGCATGAGAGTAACGTTGAGATGAAGCAGTATGTAAATGAGAATGTTAAAAAATTGAAGGATTGGCTGGAAGACTACCGGAAAAAAAAACATACAGAGCATAAATAGCATTCATGAGAACATAGACCAAATTTTAGACTGGACACGCTCAGAGATAAAGAAATCAGCGGAAATATAAAAGTAGAATATATTTTTACCTGTATATCCCCTTCGCTTTCGAACTCGAAAAGTTAAGTTGGGTTTTGTTACAACGAATTGGAGATCGCAGGGAAGAGAAAAGAGGTGGGGAGAAAGGAATATACAACATTTTTATAAAATAAATTCACATTTTATTTTTGAAGTTACATTCGTAGTTTTGCAATCACTCGTAGCATTTTGCGTTTGTTATAATCTCGTGTATAATTTCATTTAAATGAATCGTAGTCAATTCACGGAATACAATATTAAAATATGTGTCTAAAAATTGTAAATTTTTCATTTGCCGTCGTACATTTTCCTCGATTTCGCGATATTTATCAACGAGTGTCCGTTTTACGAAATCTTCGTTTACACCTTCCTTCGTGAGATTAAGTTCTATTTCGCCTACTAAAATATATTTGCAATTACTCACAAGAGCGGCAACCGCTTGTAAATGTTCGTATCTAGCATCGATATATTTTGTGACAGTTTGCAGACCATCGAAAGATGTCTTCTGCATTATAATATTCTCCGTATACAGCTTATGCTTCTTCAGTGGCGGTTGCTTCAGATGCGTAGACTCCTCCGATGTCTTCTTCGCAGGTCCGCTCTCGTCCAGCATTTTCCCTCGCTGACTCACCATTACAGCTCGTGCACCGTACGCTGAGGTAAAGTTGATGCTGATATTGTTGATGATGATAGGGGTTGGTGTATTCTTATTTCCCCACACAAATAAGAATTTGCAGAGGTTATAATATCTTTAAACTTCTCCCACGTATTCAAATCAAGGAGAATTCCTGAAAACGTGTTCCCCATGATCCTGATCGTTGGCTCAAATGGATCCATGTTGTACGTGGTGCGCAATCCAACCTGCATCCTCTTAGTGTCCGAATTGTTGAGCGCGTACGTCGTACATAGAAGCATGTTACGGACGTTTCCCACTTCTGTAGAGAGACTGCTCGTCTTCTTCGACGTCTTCTTGAGAGCGATGTCCACGTTAGCGCCGAACATTTTTCTTCCAAGAACTTGTTAATAACTTGTAAAGAACTTGTAATAACGAGAACTAGCTATGCTGCAAGTAGGAGCAACGAAGCTTGAATGCTTCGCCAGTCTCAACACCGTATGTCTTTCCCCGTAGAGAATAGAGAAAGTAGTGGGGATGGTGATGCGCAGACGTAAAAGGTCTACAACTACTTATCTTTTTCAAAATGATAAGATATAGTTTTTATATTTACTTAGAATGGAGAGATAGACTACCGTATCAATACCATAATTTTAGACTGGACACGCTCAGAGATAAAGAAATCAGGGGAAATTTAAAAGTAGAATATTACAGTTAAATTGACATATAGTATCAACATAGCGAGAGACGGATCATCACAAGCTGCAATGGCGAAGCAATCATCAAAATTTAACAAAAAGAAGAAAAGTTCAGAGAAGCAGCTCATCGGTAACGAAAAGCATCGGTTGGTGGAGGAGTTGCACGCTCCAGCGAGAAGATATTTTCCCCGTAGACGCGTCATAGTGCGCGGATACGATGATCTTTGGCAAGCTGACTTGGTAGAGATGCGTCCTTACTCGCGATTCAATAGAGGCTACCACTATATACTCACTATTATCGATGTGTTGAGCAAATATGCGTGGGCTGTACCGATGAAGAGCAAGAGCGGTAAAGAAGCAGTGGCAGTGTTCGCCAGGATATTTCAAGAATCTGGAAGATGTCCGAAAAATTTGCAAACGGACCAGGGAAAAGAATTTTATAATGCGGATCTGCAGAAACTCCTTAAAAAACACGGTATCAATCATTATTCTACGTACTCGGTAATGAAGGCATCTGTTATGGAACGATTCAACCGCACGTTAAAGAACGACATGTGGAAAATGTTTACGTTGAATGGAACATACAAATGGATCGACTCGTTACCACACCTTATCATGGAGTACAACACACGGAAACATCGAACTATCGGCATGCGTCCTATCGATGTGACACCCGAAATCGCTGATAAGCTCCTACACACAGTCTACAACAACGTAAAGATCACTGCGCCTGCGAGATTCAAAGTGGGTGATCTGGTACGCGTGAGCAAATTCAAAACCATCTTTGAAAAAGGCTATACACCGAATTGGACAACCGAAGTGTTTAAAATCGTCAAAGTGCAGACAACTAATCCAGCGACCTATCTGCTCGAGGATTCTCGCGGAAAGTCTATTGCCGGAGGATTTTACGAATACGAACTGCATCGCGCTGCTAATCCTGACGTTTATCTCGTGGAAAAGGTGTTGCGAAAAAGCGGCGACAAGGTTTTAGTGAAATGGTTGGGATTTGATAATTCGCACAACTCTTGGGTACACAAAGAAAATGTATTGTAACCAATTCTTTGTTATAAACACTTTTTTATTACAATATCCTATTATAAACAGCTTGTAATAAACCATCTTTTATTATAGTTAACAATATTTCTTACAAAAAAATATATGTACAATGATCGCTTTTCATTTTACAATATACATGTATGCACAATGATCGCTTTTTAGTTTACAATTGTATCCTGTAATGTCCCCATGGTAAAGTGTCTGTTGAGTTTGGTACGATATACCGCTTGTCATCATACGGACTCAGAGCAGTTTTCAGTTCGGACCACGGTGTAGACTTTGTGCATTTTGGATCGTATGTATGACTGATGACGTTGCTTTTCGACCTCATCTCTCAGACACTGCATATAATCATCAAACGTTATAGTTCGCGCTACGACATTGGTCTTCACACCTTTCGCCTTCTTCGTATCATTTTTGCTGTCCACCTTTAGCGCGTACATCTTTGCTCTGAGCCCGACGAATTCCGTCATAATCGCTCCGTTATTTTCATCTTTCATCAGACCTGGTACCTTTTTGTTGACAAGCGGTATACCGTACGCATTATCAGCGGGATAATCACTCGTATCAAACTTAGAAATATCACGTTTCATGTGCTCGAAAATATCATCGCATTGGATATGGTAGATTAAACTGTCAGTATCGGTGTACATTACTTTACATCTGTTCTGATACAGAGGAGACATGTTACTCATGATGAAATTCGTACAAGCAGATCTTGGATATGTCAAGGATACACATACCCACATAGATCGGCTTGTTGAATTTCACCTCAAGTTTACGTAGCTCAACGGCAATTAAATTTTCCGAAAAGACACTTCTGCTATGAAAATTTGGTCTCGCAATCATTGCCTCAGCACCGTATCGTCCATCCCATTTTGTCAATAGTTTTACGTCTACGTGATTGCGAACGTTTTCCATAGTTTTACCGAACACCGCGTTGTTCATCAATTTGTACAAATTTTTCTCGAAATCGTTTGTCGCGCGTGTTCTAAACTGCGTATTAAGTTCGATATTGTAACGTCCTGCGACGTTCTCTCCACCATATCATTTTTTCGCCTCTACATTAAAAGGCCAGCGAGACATATAGGTAGATTCAACCATAGAGGGTAATTGTTACTATTAAAATTTATCGATAAAAAGTTCATATCTTTTAAAATAATAATAATTTTAGAAAATCGCGCGGTGCGATTTAAGGCTCCTTCAAAGTATTACAAATTATGTCCTAATAAAATTTCTGTAAAATCGATAGTTTAGAAGTTATGGCTATTTGAATGTCTCGACCAATCAGGAAAAGGCATGTTTTTCTCAGTAACTATAAGGCCTAGAAGAAAAATCTTAATTGCTAACAATAGCATTAAAAGACCTCTATTTAACGACCGTATTAACATTTTGAAAAACATTAACAATTAATAAGAAACCAACAATGTTACTTACCAGTAGACTTCAGAAAATTCTAAAATTCATACGCAGGGACTATTGGGACATCAGTAATGCGTACCTTCCGTGAAAATTAAGAAAAGTCAATTTAAAATATTTTTAACACCTACGTACATAGAGAACATTTTAGTGAAACATAAGCAAATGTCAAAACCTCAGAATATTAATTACAAAAAGGAAATAATGCCAAACGAAAACAATTAATTCTTGCCCACAAAACAGAGAATCCTTCTGACAGTACATTCTCAAAATTTGGTAATTTTTACTTAAAATTTAATAAACCTCATTTATTTAAGTTCAGGGGTCGTTTAAATACCCTATTTAGCTTGGAAATCCACCCATTTTTGCCTTGGTCACGTTTAAATACTTTATTTAATTTAATTTAAGCCTTCTGTCCACGTTCAAGCTCCTCTTAAATATTGCACTCTTTTAAATTCGTTCGTACAGTACAACGGCTTGAACTCATCACTAATAATAAAAATTAATTGTTCATCGAATCTTCTATTACCATAAGCTTCTATAAGGTCTAAAAGTCGGTAATTTATACATAAGAACCGTTTATAACAATTGTTAATTAATTACCGACGCCAATAATAACGAAACCTACCCAAGGGATCTATCTTACCGACATACGTAAGTAGAGAGCCCTATGGTAGAACTCAGCCTTGCCGAGAAACATTAATTTAACAACAGTAATAATAAGGATCCCTGTAATAAGAAATCCTAATTTTCCAGTTAACAATATTATAAATCTCTACACTCTAAAACCCACTGTTAACAATATGCATTTCTTATAATAATTCTTAATAACCACATTTAAACATTAATAACAAATATCTCTTTTATTATAACACATGCATATTGTCTTTATAAAAATCATAACTAATTAACATTATAACTTTCTATTACACTATTCATATAATACTAAATTAGGCGTATATTATAACCTTAAGAACCACACATAATATAATATTAACCATTTCCTTTTATTAAATTATAATATTATAAGGCATAAATAATTACGCGCACATATAAATTAATAAGTCAGACTGGCGACAGAAGTCTCAAAGATAAGGCACGCACGCAGCCGGGCCACCGAAGGTGCTCTGGAATCCCCGAGTAACCCGAGCCCATATCAGGTAACATAGGGCATCCTGTTGACCACGCTCCTTATCACATCCGGCGGCGCGCCGAGATGTCTCGATGCCCGTCAGCATCACGCCACTCAGTCCCACTCTGAAAAACCTTGAACGCTCCTACTCTGGATCCCTCTCGTATAATCCCATTACTCCTACCATATAGCCTACCCCACTCTTGAGTTCCATTGTCCGGACCGAACGAGGCCCGGGAGCAGCTCCCACCGCAGAGTCGACATCGGAAGTTCATACAGTACAGACGTGCCTCTTAGGAGGCCAT